TATTGACATGCATATAACGGCCAATGATTTTGTGCAAATAATCACAAAGAAGTTCGATTGCAAAAAGACACCGGGATATGATAATATCTCACCCAACATGATGAAAAAATTTACCCCTTTAGGCTATAAATTTTATCACAAGAATTTTTAATGCTATAATTAAATTTGGCTTTTATCCAACAGAGTGGAAAACATCCATGATTATTATGATTCATAAATCAGGTAAAGACCCCACGCTTGCCTCTTTATACAGGCCAATAAGCTTACTGCCATGCCTTTCTAAACTCTTTGAAAGAGCACTGCTTTTAAATTTAAAATCGTTCCTTGACGTTCAAAACTTAATACCGTCCCACCAGTTTGATTTTAGGAAAAAACATGGAACTATTGAGCAAGTGAATCGTATAACGAATGAAATAAGACACGCATTTGAGCTCAGAGAATATTGTTCCGCGGTATTCCTCGATGTTAAACAAGCATTTGATAAAGTATGGCATAATGGACTCATATATAAGATACGCTATTCATTACCGGCAAATGTCCACTCAGTTCTAGAATCGTATCTGCATAATAGAAGCTTTAAAGTGAAATGCAAATCATATACTTCTAATAATTTCCCAATAGAAGCTGGCGTTCCACAAGGAAGTGTTCTTCGCCCTATATTGTATGTACTTTACACATCTGATATCCCAATAAGTAGTTCAGTTATCACCACAACGTTTGCCGATGATACGGCAATTTTATGGCGAAACAGAAACACTGTGTTAGCTTCAAACCAACTTCAATCTCACTTATATCGGATGGAGAAATGGTTGTCAAAATGGCGAATTAAAATTAACGAAGTAAAATGTAGACACGTCATTTTTACCTTAAATCAGAGTACATCTCCAACAATTTTACTAAACAACATTCCCATACCACAAGCAGATAATATAACGTACTTAGGTATCCACCTAGACAGACGACTAATTTGGCGCAAACATATTGAAGCCAAAAAAATTCAGATGAAGCTCCAATCCTCTAAGTTGCATTGGCTCATTAATAGCAGATCTTCCCTGTGCCTAGAGTATAAAGTACTGTTGTATAACAGCATCATAAAACCAATATGGACTTATGATATCCAGTTATTTGGTAATGCTAGTGCTTCAAATATTGAAATTGTACAAAGAGCTCAGTCAAAAATACTAAGAATAATCACTAGTGCCCCCTGGTATATTAGGAATGAAAGTATACACCGAGATCTACGAATTCCCCTAGTTAAAGCTGAATTTGACAATATAAGAAAAAAATACAATAAAAGGCTGATAGAACATGTTAATCCTTTAGCACTTTTATCCATTACTTCCCGCCTAAAAAGAGCTGATCGTCCAGCCATTAATTAATATAC